AATATTCATACCTTCGGTGTATAGGACGCAAACAGAATTTGACATCAGTTTGGGGTAAAAAAGTGCGTCTTATACACCGAAAAATACGGTAAGTTCAGTCTTAGTTATTATTGGTATTAGTTATTATTATTATTAACTTCGAGAAAACTATACACATAAGACTTAAAATTTAAAGTTAAAATTAACAAAAAATTACTGCCACATGCAAAATGAAATTTTGTCCGTTTGTTTGTTTTTCATTTCACTTACTTGATCACTCTGAGTCAATTGATATGACTTCGAGGTTAGGTTCTAAGTCTGAATGTGAGATTATAACGGGTAACTACAACTAATACTAGTATTACTCTAACTTCTAAGTTAGAACTTAAGGTAAAGCAAAAGTAAGAGAATTACAAAAAATGTAAAAATACACTATTACTATTAGTAATAGTATTGGTATTATTAATTATTTGTGTACAAACGCAATATCTACAAACGATTTATCAACAATAATTATTGTAACTAGAAACTTGTCTACAAATTCACTATAACTTCTTTGTTTTTCAAAACCAAATAAAACAGTTATAAACGTCACTTTATCTCATGCAGACACAATCTAACGCTACGCTACGTGAGCAGAAACTGAGATCATATTTACAAAAAAAGAAAAATAATTGTTTATAGCGCATGCGTTCTGTCAGTTTGGTCTAGCCCTCCTTTGTAGAGTCCGCTTTGCTGGCAAATTTTGCTCCTCATGCAAATTATTACCTACTTGATATCACTATATCACCGTTCTTTCTCATTTTAAAGACAAGCCCGAAATTAACAAATTTATTAACTTTTTCAGTTATCTACCCAAAGTTAATACAGGAAAAAGTGTATGCTTCCTTAGAATTGTTGTGGGCCTTTATTAGTTATTATTTCAAAACATTGAATGTTTAGTCTCGTTTATGTCATAAGCATGTACAGTATATTATGATCAATAGGACTGAAGTTAGCCTAGAGATTTGATGGCACATAGTTAAATAAACTTCTACCTATTTTTTTGTTTGTTTCAGAATTTCGTGGGAATTTAAATAAGTAGTTATCTGCTCATTGCCGTGCCTAACTTTGAATTGATAAACTAAACAGAAGGCGTGATGTTTTGAACAGTTTCGGCCCGGCATGGCCAGGTGGTTAGAGCACTAGATTCGCAATCTGTGGGTTGTGGGTTCGAATCCCCATCCCACCAAACATGCTCGCCCTTTCAGCCGTGGGAGCGTTATAATGTGACGGTCAATCCAACTATTCGTTGGTAAAAGAGTAGTCCAAGAGTTGGTGGTGATGATTAGTTGCCTACCCTGTATTTTGTCTTACACTACTAAATTAGGGACGGCTAGCGCAGATAGCCCTCGTGTAGCTTTGGGAGATATTCAAACCAAACCAAACTCTGAACAGTTTCAGTTGTGGCATGGCTGTCAACTTCTAATACTCATGAATGTGTGAGAAAATTAAAAAGCCAGGGTCAATGGCAAAGCCCTGGTGGAGACCCAGAGGAAGGGGGCGAAAATCCCCGACCGAAAATGGATTTGACATTTTTAGAACTTAAATGGAGGGCTCTGGTGGCTTTTCAGCATGTTGTTGAAACACAGATGAAAGGAGGCTTGTTCACACAAAAGACTTGAATTTCTTAAATAAAACAATTTTAATAATTTTACCATCTTCCTAAAAATTAACATTATACCTGTACATTTACAATTTCATTCAACATATGATATTCCCAATTATTTTTTGTTTCTTTGAAGTTAAGCACAAAGTTACACAATGGGCTATCTGTGCTTTGCCCACCACAAGTATCGAAACCCGGTTTCTAACTTAGTAAGTCGGCAGACATACCGCTGTGCCACTGGGGGGAATTCAAAATGAATGAAGCATGTCAAGTTGAAAATTAAAACATTATCAGAGAATGTACTTGACCTACAAGAAATTTTACTAATAAATTATTTTTCCCTTGTGATGGTTTCCTATAATCATGAATCCAGATGTCATTCAGAATTCTTTCGACATCACGCAGTCCTGGCTAAACGGCTACACACTGTGCATCGAACATAATCTTTACTGGACGATTCAGGCACGATGCATGGATACTTATTTGGCCATTCTGGATTGAACTTAGTATTATACTTTGCAGTACATTGATATTTTGTTGGTTTGGATTGTATTGGTGTTGATGGACTGTCAGATACCGAACTGCTTTTTCATTCAACTTGTTTACTAGATTGACAACATATGGCACGCATTTCATTGCATATGATAGCTCATTTCATTGGTTAATATGCAAACAAAGAACCAATCACACGACGCGATATACATGCGCATCAACTATCTGCTTTAGACTAGCACTACACTCGCTACCCACTGTGCACATTTGAAGTAAAGGACTAGGACCGTTCTAACAGTTTTGCGAAGAAAATCACGTATAATAACATATTGTTGCGTCAGCGACGTCACGTGACTAGTATCACGCCACTTCTTTCTCGAACCTTCGGGAGATTACTAGATTGGGGGTAGTCTGGTATATATAAGATGGTCACAACGTGACGGGACAATGTGTAGGTAGTGAGTATTTGAACTGCAGTCACAGAGTATTGTTGAAGTTAACGTTCGTTGTTATATCGTTTGTTTTAGCGCGATTGTTGAAATTAAGTGTATCATAAAGTTATATTCAGAAAGAATAAACCAGTTTTATTTAAGAAAGGACTTGCGTCGCTAAAGTTTCGTCGGAACGAAGTTACGGAAAATCAACTAACGACTGGAGACATAAAAAACTGGTGTCAGAGAATGGGATAAAAAAAATGATAACGAGAAGCGGCAAATCAAACTACAGCCTAGCAGACTTAAT